TGCAATTTCCGAGCTTTATTAAATTTCAATTTGCAGAAAATAAAATTCAGTGCTTTCTTCAGTAGATTTAATAATCAATTTTGTAAACATTTTTCTAACGAGTTTGAGTATTTCCCATTACCTTGCATACCTGCGCACATGTTGCAATGTGGAAGTATTTCTTTTTATTTTATTTTAATATTTACCTTTTGACCCCCCCTCAACTGCTTTCCTCACCCCTCGCCTCTGGGGACCACCAGTCCGCTCTCTGGATCCGTAAGCTTAGTTTCTTTCGTTTGTGTATTTGTTTTGGATTCCACATATAAGAGAGATCATACAATATTTGTGTTTCTCTATCGGACTGAATTTCACTTAGCAAATGCCCTTCGGATCCATCCTTGTTGTTCAAATGCCAAGATTTGGGGTGCTCTATGGCTGGACGCTATTCCATACACATCACAGTTTCTTTATCCATTCGTCCATATCTGAACACTTCGGTCCTTTCCGAGTCTTGGTGGTTGTAAATAATGCTGGAAAGTGTTTCTGTTTCCCGCAGCTAAACATCCAGTAGTGAAATTGGTGGGTCATATGATATTCTGTCTTGAATTGTCTTTGACCCCCGCCCCCCGGGCACTTGTTTTCATTGCTTTCAGAGAGAGAAGAAGGAGAAAAACAACGATGCCGGAGGGAAGCGCCGATCGGCCAAGACCGGCAAGCGCTCGGACCAGGGGCCGCACCCGCAACCCTTCCGCCAAAGGCGGTCGCTCCCTCCAACTGAGCCACGCCCGCTGGCGAGCTAGTTTTCGTTTTCGAGGGCCCTCCATACCGTTTTCCTCAGCGGCTGCACTAGTTTACATCCCCACGAACAGTGTTTACCTAAGGGTTCCCTTTGCTCCACATCCTCGCCAACACTCGTCATTTTTGTCGGGTTGATAACAGCCATTCTAACAGGTGTGAGGTGATACCTCCCTGAGGTTTTGATTTGCAGTTGCCTAATGATTGTGATGTTGAACATCATTTCAAATGCTTCTTGGCCATCTCTACGTCTTTTTACTGGAAAAATGTCTATTCAGAACTTCTGCCTATGTTTTGAAATCGAATTGTTTGTTTTTTGCAATCAGTTGTATGAGTTCTTTACAGACTTTGGATATTAGCCTCTTAATCAGCTCTGTGATTGTAAGTATGTTCTCCCATTCAGACGGTTGTCTTTTCACTTTGTCGATGGCCTCTTTTGCATTTTTTCATTTGCATTAAATAGTTTTTCATCCCTCCACTTTCAGTGTCTTTGTGTCTTTCATTCTGAAGGGCATCTCTTTTTCTTTAATTTTCAATACTTGCTTATTCTGTAACAGTTGTCTGCGTTTCTTCGCTTTTGCCCCCGCCCCCCTGTTCAGCAGTCAGTTCCCACTCTGTTGTCCGTGTCCGTGGCTCATTCATACATGTTCTTGGTCCAGTCCCTTCCCCTCCTTTCCACCACTGTCCTCCTTCCCCATCCTCTCTGGTCACTTTCCGTCTGCTCCACGTTTGCATGCCTGTGGTTTCTTTTGTTCGTTAGTTTACTGTATTGAATAGATTCTATGTATAGGCGAAATCATACGGTATTCGTCTTTCACTGACTGGTTTATTTCACTTAACATACTACTCTCCAGTCCATCCATGTTGTTGCGAACGTAGGAGTTCCTTCTTTCTTTCCTTTTTTAAATGCAGATTGATTTTATGTATTTATATTTTAAACGTCAAAATCTATTATAAAATAGGAAAAAATTTAAATCCATTATACAGTCTCAGCAATTAAAACAACATGACACCAGCACAGAAATAATCAAGTAGATCAATAAAATAAAATGAGCATCCTAGAAAGAAAAGTACATATTTGTCTAACTATGGGATATATGATTAAATTGACATTTCAAATCCATGGGGAAAATAAGGCTTATTCAACAAATAAGGTGCATGGACCACTATTACTTAAAATCAAACAAATATAGAGCCCTGTTTCACACATTGTACAGAAAATATTCAGGTGAGTTCAAAATCAATACATAAAATCTAACGAGTTTTTGGAGAAAATACAAAATAATATTTTTCTTACCCTGAAGTAACATAGCCAACCCCAGAAGCTATACAGTAAAATATTGACATTACGACTATATTAAACATTTAAGACTATACCGTACTATACATATTAAAAAAGTTAAAGGACCAGTAATGGAATAGGAAAGTATTTGCAACACATCTACAAAAGGTTAATAGTTTTCTTTTTAGGGAAAACAATTCTACAAACATTTAATCAAAACATGGATAAAGAATGCCAAAAAGCCATTTAAAGCCTTTTTAAAACAATAGAAATAGGCAAGAAATATACAGAAACGGGTTTAGTTTCAAAAACTAATAATGGAACAACTAAAATAACACATCATTGTCACAATCAGATTAATAAGCGTTACAAATATCGGTAATATCAAGTATTGGTGACTGTGAAAGGAACTGGGTATTCATAGACTCTTTTTCTTCATCTTCTCCAAGCGGTCCCTTTAACGTCTCTTGCTATGCTGGCTTCGTGGAGGTGTATTTTTTTGGCCTCCTTTTGTCTGGGAAAATTCTTATTTCACCTTCCATTTTGATTGAGAGCCTTGCTGGGCAGAGCAGCCTTGGCTGCGGGCCTTTGCTTTTCATGACTTGGAATATTTGTTGGCATTCCCTTCTGGTTTGTAGAGTTTCTGTTGAGAAGTCAGCTCCTAGCTGCATTAGGGCTCCCTAATATGTTACTACCTCTTTCTCCCTTGCTGCCTTTCGGATTCTCTGTGTGCCTTTGATATTTGCCATTGTAACGATGATGTGTATGATGTGTCTTGGAGTGGGCTTCATCGGGCTCCTCTTGAAAGGGACCCTCTGTGCTTCCTGGACTTGTGTGACTTTTTCTCTCCTCACATTAGAGAAGTTTCCCGTCGTTACTTTTTCAAACAGGTTCTCTATCCCTTTCTCCTCTTCTCCTTCTGGTGTCCCTATTATACGGGTCTTATTGCATTTCAGGTTGTCCTGCATTGCCCTAAAAGTCTCTTCATTCTTTTTTAGTATTTTTTCATTTTTCTGCTCTTTCTGGGACCTTCTGTGTACCTTATTCTCCAGCTCACTGATTTGTTCCTCTGCTTCATCTAGCCTGCTCTTGATTCCTTCTACTGTGTTCTTCAATTCGGAAAGTGTATTCTTCATTTCCTCTTGTTTCTTATCGATACTTTCTATGTCCTTTCTCATGCTGAAATAGTTTGCAGTAAGTTCCTTATCGTTTCCCTGTAGCTTTTTGTAATTCTCTCTGAGCTCACTGAGCTCATTGAGCTTCCTTAGAACCATTGCTTTGAACTCAATGTCTGAGAGTTTCCTTGCCCTATTTCACTGAGTTCTCTTTCTGGGGATTCCTCCTTTCCCTTCAACTGGGGGAGTGTTTCTTTGTCTTCCCATTATTTGTGAGACTCTTCTTTTTGGCTTCTGTTTCTTAAATTGCTCTGTCTTGATTTCCTGACTTTGTGCTGCGAACTTCAATGGTAGGAGACTGCTGTGTCTTTTTCTTTCTGGATCTGCCTCTGATGGTGTCAGATGTTGACCCTGTCTGACCGTCGGCAGTCTGTTTGAGACTTCCGGGAATCCACTGTGTGTGGCCGTCTCCTTCAGCTGTTAATGTAGTCAGTCTCTGCACTCAGCAGGCTGGCTTAGACACCACGGGGCGGGACGGAATGCTCCTGGGGGCAGGGCGATTGTGTCCTCTCATGGTGCGGCCACTCGGGGGAGTGGCCTGCCTGAGCAAGATGGCTGCTGCCGTGTGAGGGATGAGTCAGCGCCAGGATCCCACCAGCGACTCTCTCAGTTTTCTCCCCAAAGCCTCCTTCTCCAGTCTCTCCTCAGGCCTCTCGAGCCTATTCTGCCCTTGCCTTTGCAGGAGACCAGGGTAAGTGGCTGCAAATAAAAATGTATATGTTGGCCGTTTCAACGGCTCTTTGTGTCCAGCCACCTGTCTCTGGCAGAGGGCAACCCCGCCGCTTTTCACAGCTGGCTGTTATCCGTGTAATTTGGGGGCTCTGGCGCTGGAGGCTGGAGATCCCTGCTTACGGTTTAGACCCCAGCCCTGTCAGGGGACTCCGACGGGCTGTTTCAATTACCTTCTGGCGCTGCCACCTGTAGGCGACCCACCTGCCTTCTCGAGTCTCTGCCACACTCCTTACCGCTTAGGTTGTGGTAAACCTCATTCTTCTGTCTGTCCAAGGTTACAAGGCTCCTCTTTTGCTATTGTTCCGTTGTTTGTTCCAGGTGACTTCTCCACAGTTTAGTTGTAATTCCGGATTGGTTCTGGGAGGAGGTCAGTGTGACTCCCATTCACTCCTCTGCCATCTTGATTGTCCTGAAGGGGATCTCTTGTAGACAGCATGTATATGGGTCTTGTTTTCTTATCCATTCAGCAACCTTAGGTCTTAAGATCGGCGCATTTAGTCCATTCACATTGAAATGGATTATTGATGAGTAGCTGTTTATTGCCACGTTAGTATTTATACGTGTTACTTCCTTACGATTATTTCCTCTTCTTAAATAAGTCCCTGTAATATTTCTTGTAACTCATGTTAGGCGGCGATGAACTCCTTGATCTTTCCTTGCTTGGGAAGCTTTTGGTCTCTCGTTCCATTTATTTATTTATCTACCTACCGATTTATTTCATCACCCAAGGCGATATTTCTGTCGATTTATGAGAGAGAGAGGGAGGGAGGGAGAGAGAGAACAAGATGTAGGTCGACATCCACGTGAGAGAAACATCGATTGGTGGCTTGGTGTGTGGGCCCCAACCAGGGACGGAAGCCGCAGTCTAGGTATGTGCCCTCCCCAGGAACTGAACCTGCAAACATTTGGTGTACGGCACAGCATTCTGACCAACTGAGCAGCCCCGGCCAGGGCTCTCGGTCAGTTTTAACGCGTGCCTTCCTGGGCAGAGGCCTCTTACGCCAGCCAGCGTGCACAGCTCCTCCCCTCCCTTCCTCTCTCCTCCTCTTCCTCAAGTCCTCACTGAGCCTTCAAACCAGAGACCCGAACAGGACACAGGCTTTCCAGCTAAAGGTATGAGGGTGATTGTGCGTGTGTTGGGGGGAGGGGCAGGAAAGTGTGGGGTTGGGAGCAGTGGGGACCCCTGCCCTGGGTCGGTGCTAAGCCCCCTGGCCAACGTGCTCTCAGCGGAGATTTTTCATTGCTTTCGGTTTCCTCTCTCTGCTGACTGATTTTCGACAGATTTCTTGTTGCTTTCAGTTTCCTGTGTCTGCTGATTGATTCGGGCTCTAAGCTGTTCAGCAGGCTGAGCGGTACAAACTCCCACCTGTTACAGGAGTGCTGCTCAGAGGGTATTTGTACAAAGAAATGACCCTTGCAGCACGTACAGAGCGTAGGAATAAATGTGAGACTGTCTGGGGCTGAGCTGGGCGGGCGGTGGAGTCGGCTCTGAGGGCAGCTGGTGGGCGGGGAGCCCCGGGAAGGGTCAGACGCTCGGCCCCCACGGCCACAACCACCAGCGACCTTGTGGCCAAAGCTGACCTGTCAAAATTCTGGGATTTCCCTTCTCAATTTACAAGAAGGGGCTTTGTACTCCCTGGCTTACGGGATAAAGAGGTAAGTGTTCCTTCAAAAGCAGCATCTGTCTTTGTGACAGAGGTTCCAGGGTGTGGCTGACGGCTTCCTCTCAGAGGGGCCGGCCCTTCCCAACTCGCATTCGCAGCCCGTCCCAGGCCAGGTCCCCTGCACCGCGGGCTCTGGGCACGGCTCTCCCCATCGCCACACGCGTGCAGGCAGCGAGGGGACAACATAATCACAGGGCTGCACCTGCCTCTGGGACCGTGAGCACCGAGGAGCGAGGAAAGGGTGACCTTTCCCCCAGATGTGGGCTAGACATGAAGGTCGGAGAGGAAGCAACAATCAGAGGGGGGTGATGAATTTATGTACTTAACAAATGTGGATTGTGAACAGCCCTGTGTCCAGGGTTGTGCTTGTCCCGGGTAACAAGGGAATACAAGACCCAGAGGGCCCTACCTCCGCCCCAAAGCTCTCACCCCAACGGGGCAGACCACAGAGCAGGCACAGAGCTCCCGACCGGGACCCGTGCTCCACAGGACCCCGGGGCGCCGTGAGGGCCAACACGGGGGGACCTCAGCACAGCTGCACTGTCGGGCGGGGCGGTGCTGGGGGCGTTGGGGGCGCTGGAGAAAACCAATCAAGGTTTAGTTTAAAAAGTCTCGGATTGTAGACGTGAAGAGGGACGGAGGACGGGAGGATCGGTTAGGGTCCTTGACAGGGAACCAACCCCAGGGGCCTGGATGCATCCGCAGGCGGGAGAAGGGACGCGTTTGCCTGACTTGGAGGTAGAGCCCCTGGGACGGAGGAGCAAAAGTGAGGGAGCCGCGCGCAGGCGGCGCCGTGGCTCCGCCCGCGGGAGCGCGGGCTGAGGCCGGGGCTGAGGCCGTCCGCTGAACGCGGGCAGATCGTCCCGTCACCTGGAGGCAGGACGGGCTGGGCACAGAGAGGTCGAGGGTTTCCTGTGGCCGGTTCTCTGCGAGGCGCCCATGAACTGGCCCAGTGGGGAGGCTGAGTGGGACTCCGCGGGTCAGAGCTCCGCGGAGGGTCTGGGCCTCGGGGAACGTCCAGATGGCGGGCAGAGCGACGAGGGACGAGGGGGTGGGGAAGGGCGCCGGGAAGCAGAGCTGAGACAGCACGTGCAGCCTGTGTGTTTGTGCAGAGGAAGCGCAAACTCGGAGAGGAGACTGACGAGGGGGCGGAGCTCAAGAGCCGGGACGAGGGCGGGGCATCCGGCAGCAGCGGGTCTGTGGGAGGAAGACGCTGCGGCCGCGCCAGGGTCGGGTGCCGGTCACTCTCCCGTCCCCTCACGGGAGCTCTGCTTCTCGCCCACAGGAGCTCACGCGCCAATGGCAGCTCCAGTGCCCAGCACGCGTGTCAGCGAACCCAGGACCCGCCACGGTGAGAGGGGCTCGGCTCCCCAGGCCCGGCTGGTGGGGGCGGGCGGGGGGTTCCCGTGTCCTGTCTGCGAGCCCCCATCTGAGCAAGATCCAATGTCTCCAACCCCATTGCTCCTCTTCCCTCCACGGACTCGGCTCTTCCTTTTCCCTCGACCCTCCACCCTGTCCCCTCCTGACGCAGCATCACCGCTAAGAGGAGGAGACGTCACGGTGTCCTGACTGACCCAGGCTGGACGACGTGTCTGGTCTCCTACTTCCTAAACTGAGCACACACCCGGGGGTCCCGCGGTGGCCTCTCTGGGTGTTTCTCTGCCCCCTTTGGGCCCCAGAGGTGGTCGGGAAGGAGGAACGTGAGAGTAATTTTTATTCAGGTCCCTAGTGTCCCTGCTCCAGGTGGCCGCACGATAACCGCCAAATTCCCCTGAGTGGCTCCCTGCATTTCCCACATAACCCCCTTCACTTTCCGATGTATCGAAAGCGACTGGATCATTTGAGCTCTGGCTGGTTTGGCAAACCACTCCACCACGTAGAGGCCTAGAAACAGCAGTCACTGCGCTGGCAGTTCTTGGGTCTGGGCCAGCGGGGCCCATCTCACCAGAGTCGCGCACGCTCCCGGTGGCAAGCCAGTGGCCCGGTGCACAACTGGGTGATCTTTTTGAAGATTAAATGTCTTGGGCTGCCATTGGTTAATAACATTATGGAAGTGTCAGGTGCATAATTCTGTAATCCATCATCCGTGTATTGCATTGTGTGCTCACCCCCCAAAGCCTTGTCTCCTTCGATCATCACACATTGGACCCCCTTTACCCTGTTCCGCCTCCCCCCACATCCCTTTCCTTCTGATAACCACCATACTGTTGTGTGTGTCTTGAGTTTATCTTGTGTTGTAACTTGTGGCTCCGTATTTTATATCCCACATGGGAGTGAAATCATACAGCTGTTGCCCGTCTTTCATGTGACTGACTTCGTCTAGCACGATGCTCTCAAGATCCAACAAGTGGATAATTTGGAGTTGGATAGCCCCATGGCCGTGTCTGGTAGTCAGCAGGCCCTCGGGCAGGCCAAGGTGACAGGGATAAGTGGGCCTGTGTCCCTCCTCACCACGCAGACGAGTCCAGCCTCCTCACAGGGCAGCGGCAGGGCTCTGCAGAGCAGGAGGCAGCAAGCCCCGTGCGTCTGCACTTTGAGAGTCCACGCTGGCATCACGCTTCTCCTGCCCTCTTGTCCAGGACAAGTCACACGGCGCACCCGGATTCAAGAGGGGCGGGGGAGAACGGACGAAGCATTCATGGGTGGAGCTGCAGGTCCACATCCCAAAGAGGGCATGTCCCAGATGGGGACAGCCCATGGCCAGAGCTGGAATCTGTCACACAGATCACCAGGTGCTCTCAGCATTGGCACACTGCTGCTGTGTGGAGCTGGCCTTGGTGCCTTTTTGTTCCACCTCCCACGATTTCCCTACTCCCTGTGCGGTGACCACTGATGCCCTCAGGATGTCCTGAGGTGGAGTCGTCCACTGTGACGCTCGCGGCACCATGATCTGAACTCCCACCCACATTCCCCTTAGTGGCGGCCGTCCTGTGTCCCGTGTTCTCAGCTTCTGGAAACTCACGTCTCTCGTCCCAGGGTCCTGGTTCATCAAATGTGGGAAACTTGGCCTTAGGGGTGGTGTTGCTACTCCCTGGATGAGCAACAGCTTCCCCTAAAGTGTGTGGAAGATGGGGAGTAAGTACTGATCTTGTGGAAGCCAGAGATGGGGGTTCTGCAAAATATCTTCTGCTGATGGATGTTTTAAAAATCATTCCAGGTATAGAATAGGCAGAAAGGGGCACACTGGAAATAGAGCAGCCAGTCAGGAGACGGCTGCGACCCGGGTGGTGATGTAGCCTGGGCTGGTGTGAGGGTCTTCACTATGGAGAGAAGCGGTCAGACTGTGGACGGAGGCAGGAGAACGTGCCGGTGGGTTGGATCTGGAAAATGAAGGAAAGGGAGGGATCAAGGGAGACTGCCCGCTGTTTGGTCTGAGGACCTGGGTGACGGCGATGACGTCTCTGAGAGGGAAATGCCACTCGCGTCTAATATGACGGGTGTGGCCCGTGGGCATGGACCCTGAGCAGAGACGACGGCTGGAGCACAGGGTCGAGCCCAGGCCTCGGTCTCACGCTGGGGCCGGCGGGGGCTCCCTTCTCGGAGACTCAGGCCCTCAGCTGTCGTTCCTGGTCCCGGGCTGCACTCACCAAACCCCGCAGCCTCCACCGCAAGACGCATTATAGAAAGATGCAGAGTTACTAAACAGAAATAGGGAAAGAGCTACATCGATGATTCGGTGTTTAACTTAAGACACAGTTCTTTGAAAACATGGTTCAGTTGGTAGGTGATGCTGTTCTGTTATTAACCACAGGTTTCCTAGGAAGTAGGGAGACTGAACCAAGTGAGACTAAGAAAGTGTAACTGTACAGATGCTAATGCGAATGAGGTATTATTATTATTATTATTATTATTATTATTATTATTTAGGTTTCGAGGGACTTCACAGCAACTCTTGAGAAATGTTAATACTTTCCGTCTGTAAGTCTTCAACATATTAATTTTAAATATAAAACTTCATTAGATTTCTATGCAAAGTTGTAACTTTAAAAGGAAGGCACTTTGTGCTTTTGTGAGTGACAGTCCCTGAGGGGATGGCTGCACACGTGACATACAAAGGGACACTCTGTCTTTTTGCCCACGCGCCCTGCTCGCCCCTGCAAGGTGGGATGGCCTGAGTCCTCCGCCTCCCTGGCTTCTTCAAGGGAAGAAGAAAAGTTCCCTGGTGAATATAAAGAGGGGGTGAGGGCTCTCCCACTGTGCTGTCCCACAGACAGCTTTTGTGTCACTTCCTGCTCTGGCTTAGGAGAGACAGCAACTGCAGCGGCTCAGAGCTCTCGCTTACACCGTTTGGCGCCCTCCTCCGACGCCCTGAGCTGGCTAAGGTCACAGTGAGCAGCCCAAGGGACTTGGAGGACATGCCCAGTGCCCCCCACATCCTGCAGCAGGAGCGCCCGGCCCAGGGCCCCCTCCGTGCCCCTGTGGGTGTAGAGGTCGCTCACGGGAGAGGACCCTGGCAGGCAGCACAGATGACACTGGTAGGTGGGAGCCGGCGGGGGACATGCTGGAAATCAATCCTGACCCTGTGGCTTTTGTTTCCTGATGTCCCAGGGCCTGGAAACCAGGACCTCGGAGAGTCACAACTGAGACTAGTCTTGGTGGGAAAGACTGGAGCCGGAAAAAGTGCCATAGGGAACAGCATCCTTGGAAAGGACGTGTTTCGTTCCGGCATCGCAGCAAAATCCGTCACCAAGGTCTGTGAGAAAGGGAGCAGCACGTGGAACGGGAGAGAAATCGTGGTCGTGGACACGCCAGGCCTTTTCGACACCGAGGTGCCGGATGCTGACACGCAAAAGGAGATCGCTCGCTGCATCCTCCTGACGTCCCCCGGGCCTCACGCTCTGCTCCTGGTGTTCCCGGTGGCCCGGTACACAAAGGAAGAGCAAGAGGCTGCAGAGAAGTTGCTGAGGATGTTTGGTCCCACAGCGAGGAGACACATGATTCTCCTCTTCACGCGGAAGGATGACCTGGGCAGCATGGAGTTCTGTGATTTCTTAGACGGGGCTCCAGAATTCATTCAAGACCTGATGCAGCAGTTCAGGGGTCGTCACTGTGCGTTCAACAACAAGGCGACAGGGGCCGAGCAGGAGGCCCAGAGGGCTCAGCTGCTGGACCTGGTCCAGCGCCTTGTGAGGGAGAACGAGGGAGGGTTCTACACCAACGAGATGTACGGGAGGGCAGAGGAGGAGATTCAGAAACGGATCCAAGTGATACAAAAGCAAATCGGGGCTGAGCTGGAGAGGGAGAGGAGGCAGATAAGAGAGCAGTATGAGGAGAAAATCAGAAACCAGCGGGACAGTCTGGAGCGGGAAAGAAGGAGGGCAGAGATGGAGAGGGAGCTGGCAGACAGGGAGAGGTGCTCTGTTGTAAGGCTGCAAAATGCCAGGGAAGAGGTTGAGAAAGGGTCTTCGGGCATCATTATGGCAATAGTGTCTGCTGTTTTTCTGGTTGTTGGATGTCTGTTTAAAATCTTTCATTAAATATTAAAATCTGTCTATATTTCCTGCATTTTTTCAGACGTCCCTTCCCTGTAACTCATTCTGCAGGTGTCAGCTCTCGTATGGGTGCATTTCCCACGCAGGCTATTAACAGGGCTTTCTCCCAGTGACTCGGGCCGCTGAGGTTCATGGAGTAAAAACAATCACTTGTGGTCAAACACACAATGAATCACAAATATTTCTTCTGGCCAGGAAACGGATGCATGGCCAGCGCCCGAGCTCTGGCTCCCCGGTGAGATGAGGAGGCCGCCCCCCTGACTCGTGAGCGCGGCCCCGACGCAGTAGCTTGCGGGGGGAGCCCTGGGGGGGGCCAGCCCCGCTCGCTCTGAGGCAGCCGTGCCTTCCATGGTGCGGGGCGGCCCTGCTGACCCTCCGCGCCCCAACCCGAGCCAGCCCCGCGCCGCCCCCACCGTGGGCTCGCTGGCTTGCAAGCCCCCGCCGAGGGGAGCCGTCTTGTCACACTCCCCTTCTGGAGGGCGCGGCTGGTGCCGCCTCTCGCGCCCTTTCCCCCGCTGTGCCAGTTGGGGTCTTTCCCTCTTTTTCGGGGGGTAAGGAAGGCCCCGTCCAAGGGCCCTCTGCGGGGTGAAGCTCTGACTGGTTGCGCTCTGCTGCCTCTCCACGCGCGCCCCTGCACCCCACGTCCCTGTCCGCACCTCGCTCAGGGTCACGTACACTGCAACGCCACGTCCTGGGTCGGATGCTGGGATGGCGGCCCTGGACAATCAGCTCGTATTCTCCTTCCTCTACCTGGAGAAAGAACACGGCTGACTGAGTTGCACCTGCGTTTCAGGAGCAGCTGACCTTGCCTTTCACCCGCGCACAGGCGGTGTCTGCCTTGCTTTGGGGCGGGGGAGGGACTGAATGAGGAGAGGGGAGGGAGGTCTGGCGTGCTCTGTGCCCCCTCCAGGGATCCCGTTTCTCTCTCTCTCTTTCCCTTTGTCTGGGGTCCCCATCATGAGTCCAAGCGATTTCATGGAGCCGCTGGCCTGCTGCCTGAGGAACGATGGCATCAGGAGGGACCCTGGGTCCTGGGGCTGTCGTCTGAGGAGGAGCAGGAGCAGGCAGACCCTGTGTCCCAGGAGCCGTGGGAAGACGGTGGCCGGAGGGTGCGCAGTGGGGGGGGGGGGCGGGGGGCGTGCGCAGGAGGCTGTGCTGAGGGGCCGGCTGCGGGCGGGCCGGGCCTGGGGCCAGGATGGTCCCGGAGGGCGGCCTGGCCGTGCGGGCGTCACGGGGCTCGGAGGCGGGCGGGCGGCCGGGTGCTGTGGTGAGGAGGCCCGGAGCCCTGGCACAGGAGCCTCATGATGCGAGGACAGCCCTGCGGGAGCCGGGGACCCCACTGCCCGTCTCCATGGCCACCTGTCAGCGACGTCTCGCCGCCTGGGCCTCAGAGGCCCCGTGGGTGCGAAAGCCGCGCCTCGACGGGATGTCCCTGTGGTCCCTACAGGTGACCGGCCCATTTTATGACATTTTCTAGGGCGCGTCCCCGTGTTTGCAGGGGGCCCCGTCACCCCAGCAGGAAGTGCCGTCCGTCACCCTCCGGGGGAGAGAGCACTGCGCCCTGCCGTCACCCGCTCTGCCCCACGGGCTGACGGGGCTCCCCGTTCCGCAGCCCGTCCCGCTGTCTCTGCTCCGGCTCCCCTGCGGGCTGGGGACGGGACTGCCTGCTGGGGCACGCAGGACACGGGGGGACAGTCACAGTCAGGGGGTGTCTGTCCCCCGGGGCCCCCGCACACCTGCCCTGCACGGTGCCTCCCGCCTCTGCCCCCGCCCAGTGTGTCTCCATCGGGGACACGGAGCAGGCGCGGCCCCCGTTGTTTGTCAGGAGGAAAGTGAAACTCACGGAGCCTCTTCCCCGCAACGCTGCGGGCGTTTGGGGCAGGACAGGAAGCACACGGCGTCCTTCTGCCCCCTTAGCCACCGTGCCTTGTAATGGACCACGGACCACGGACCACAGACACACACACAGACACAGCGCACACGCACACCACAAATGTAACACGCACCCCAAACACGCCACAGAGCACTCACGCAATGTACTCACAACACACACGCTCACAAACATACACACCCCCAGCAGAGACATACACAAACACTCAGGCATACCCACAACCACAGCCCAAACACGCCACAGACCACTCACACAAAACGCTCACAACCATAACAGACCCATATACTCCCAAATATTCAAAGACACAACACACGCCAGCATAGCACATACAAAAACACAGTGCACCTGGGCCAGGTGGCGCCTCTGCTCTTCTCCGCGGGCGCCACCATGCCCTCGCGGAGCCCCAGGGCAGGGAGAAGAGGCTGCGGCTGTAGAAGGCGCCACCCTGGGGCTCCCACTCCAGGCTCTCGACCACAGCCATCAGCTCTGCCAGCTGCGCCCTCTGCTCCTCCCCGGTGGCCCGGTTGTTGAAGCCACAGTACCGGCCCCCGCACCCCTGGACCAGGCCCCGCAGGCTGAGGTTGTCCACATGGGCTATGGACCCACCCAAGGACTCGCCCCCCGAGTCCTCCTTGTGGGTGAAGGGGACCACCGCGTGTCTCAGGGCTCGTGCCCCAAAGACCTCCTTCGCCCTCCTCATTGCCATCGTGTTGGCATTGTCACCGTGGTGAGGCGGCCCAGCTGGGTCACCAGTAACAGCACGTGGGGCCCTGGGGCCGAGGGCAGGTCGCACGCTCTTTCATGCGTGACTGTAAAAACCCAACACGGAGCTCGGGCCCAGCGGCCTGCAGCTTCGAAAGCGGCGCTCGGGGGACAGGGGCTGCGTAAGGAAGCATGGTTTATTCAAAGTCAGGCGGCCTGGGAAGGGGGTGGTTCTTGTCTCAAAGACCATCCGACCAACTGGACGTGGGCAGGGGTTCCAGTGAGGACGGGAAGGAGGGGAAAGGAAACAGAACAAAGGAGCGGCTGAGCGTCCTCTGGGCAGGGGCTACGTGCCCGCCAGCACCTTCGCTGCCGGTCACCGGCTGAGGGTCAGCCGGTCTCTGGAAGCTGGAATGTCGGAAGGTCAATGTCGCTTCTTTTGGAGTCAGTTTCTAGAGTGCTTAAGCAAACGGGCCATTATTTACAGAAATACTGTTTAAAGAAGGGAGAGGTAGGTCATGATTCTACAGGGGTCACCGTGGAGACGCCCACCCTCTGCGAGAACCCGAAGGCGTGAGGGTGGGCCGGTGTCTGCTGTGGTCTGAGGGTTGCTGTCCCTCAAACCCAGGCGTTGAAACCTGATGCCAAGAGGGTGGTGCCCTTGGACGGCCCCTTGAGGGAGCTCCGTGCCATATAAAGGGCCCCGGGGCGCCGGCTCTCCCTCCTGCCCCTGGGGACCCAGCGGGAAGCTGTCCCTCTGCAGCCCCAGGAGAGCCCTCCCTGGACCCACCGTTGAGGGCGACCTGCCCCTGGGCTCCACCCTCCAGGGCGTGAAAGACAAATGTCTCTTGTCCACAAGCCACCGATCCCTCTGTGACCCCTGTCCTAGCCTCTACGAACCCACCGGTAGCTCTTACATCCTGTATCCCGGCACGTCCCCTTGGCCTTGACACTTTTGTGGCTAGAGTCTCACGATGTCTACACTGAAGGGGTTCACCGCTTGGGGTGTTCTGTTCAAGGACGAGGCCTGGTTGTCACAAGGCCATTTTATTTACTTGCAGCAAGTAAAGGAGATGGGGTCTCACATCCAAAGCTCTTCTCCCCACGGGGAGGCTGTGGGGTGGCGTGGGGTTGCGTGGCCGTCCTGCTGACGGCTGCGCCTGCAAAGCCCTGCGCTTCAGCTCACCGTGTAGAAGAACGCATTTCGCCCTGGCCGGGCAGCTCAGCAGGTTAGCGTGTTGTCCTGATGGGCCCAGGTTGCGGGTTTGATTCCGGCTCAGCACACATACAAGGACTAACCAATGACTACGTAAATAAGTGAAACAACAAATCCCTCTCCAGTAATCAATTAAAAAAGAATGGAACACATTTAGGAAGAGCCTCCCAGACCTTGAGACCCTGGTCCTACCTAACGACGGCATCCACCACAGGAAGGTACACATTCCCTGCAATGAGAGGAGGTGCACCGACTTACGTGCACCTGCCTGTGGCGTGTGGCCCTCTTATTGTCCTGGAGAGTTCAGTTTGCTAATATTCTGCCAAGGGAGAGCAGAGACTGCCGCTGTCCCCACATGAGCAAGGCCATCTGTCCTCTAAGAGTGAAAGGAGTGAGGGGTGTTGGGCCAGGGGACCTACATGTGGTGGGGGACATTTTCTCCTCTTCTCCTCAACAGAGAGACTGGTTTCACCAATGAGTAGAATGAAAGGGAGACTGTCCCTTTGCCCCGTACTGTTCCTTCAGTGACAGTGCCATGAGTGACTTCCAGGCCCAGGAAAGTCCCTTTTCAGACTTAGGCTTTGACCTTGAAGGGCCGTCCACAGGCCTTTCTCCGGTTGCGAGGACGGTGCAGGGAGTCCCGGCTCTGCCGGCCACGGACGGGCAGTGGAGGAGCGGCACCTGCTGTTTTCCATTCCTGAGCTCGCGCTACACGCCGCTGTGGCCCGAGGGCGGATTCCTCTCCATTTCAGTTCTTTTAAATTGGGTAAGATTTGTGTTAAAGCTCAGAACGGGGCCTAGCGTGGCATATGGTCCATGTGCACCTGAAAATACGTGTCTTCTGTAAATTTCAACTTCTACAAATGTCCATTAGCCCCGTTGATGGGAGGTGTCAGGGCGGCCTTCCCGGTCCCGGGTCATTTTCTCTGTAGCTCTTCCCTTGGTGGCTGGGGGAGTCGGGGGGGGGGGAGTCTCTAACCATGGTCTGGAATTGCCTAATTCTCCTTTCGCTCGTCAGCTTCTGCGCGGAGGTTTTGCCTCTCTGTTGTTGGAGAAGACATGTAGGATTGCTTTGTCTTCCGGGTGGAGTGACCTTTTTATCACTCGACAATGTTCCTTTCTGCATCTGGTAGTTTCCTTTGTTCTGAAGTCTGATTTATTTGCTACGAGTATAGCCATTCCTTCTTCCTTTTGCATGATTAATAGTTGCACCATTTACCTTCTCCATCCTTTAATGTTGAGCCTGTTTCTGCCATGATATTTGAAAGGATGTTTCTCTGAGCAGCTTTTGCTTGGGTCGTGTGTTTGATCTGCCCGCCAATCCCTGTCCTCTCCCTGGGCACAGACAGCAAACCCACGCCCCTCCCTGAGGGGTCCTGGCTGCAGCTGCGATGGGCGTGTCTGCTCCTGGGGCCCCCGGGGCTCCTCCCCGCACTCCCAGCGGCTCAGCTGCTGTCCCTGGGGATCTCTGGGCTCCATCCCTCTGACCTTAGGCCAAGAATCAAACGTCACATTGCTCGCACCGGACTCTGCTTTTCTTTCTTTCTCCTTTGTTTCCCGGTGGCCTCCTCCTCTTTCAGCAACGTGACAATGGCAGACTTTTCCTGTTCGGTCCTTGGAAAAGGGTATTGAAAAGTGGACAAGACCAAAACCAAGACTGCGCCTCAGGGCCCCGCGGGGACCTGCGCGCAAGCCTGGGTGCAAAGGGACCTTGACAGCGGAAGTGCCGCGTGTCGGCCTCGGCGCTGGGTCCCCGGTTCGTGTCCGCAGTGGGTCCAGGCGGGGCTGCGGGCCTCTCGCGCCCCTACCTGCTCCGCCGTGGCCGGTTATCCCCCGCTTTGGCGTGTCTCTTCAGTGACCCGAGGGCATCAGTGACCTGGGACTCTGTCTGCGAAGGCACCGGCCCAGGGCGCTGTGGGCGCCCGGCAGGACCGGGGGAGCCTGGGTTTGGTGTGGTGGGGAGTCTCCGGGGACAGAGGGGCGGCGCGGGTGCAGAGGTCAGCGGGGCCGACCCGGCCCACCCACCGGGGCCCGGAGCTGAGCTGCCGGACCGCCTGGGGCAGAGGGGCTGGCGCTTCGCCCGCCAGTGCGTCCCCAGTGCTCGGCCCACCGAGGCCTGTCCGCCCTTAATCATGAGGTTGAATTAGAAGTTTCCAGACCTCTTAATTTTTTAGGCTTTACCCCCGAGTTGAAAAGCACACCCTCCCCCGTGAGCGTGCCAGCCAGTGAGCAAGGGCCCCGTGGAAGTGGATTTTCACAGGGTCTCAGCGGCTCCTCATGACTCGCGTCTCTAGTTTTAGTTTCCTTGGCCTTGTAGAAGCCTCTGCATTCGAGCTGCTAAGGGGACTGAGGGGTGACACAGGGGGTCGTCCCTGCTGCAACAGAGGGACAGTTCTCCAGTGTGTTCTCTTCCTGCGGGCACAACCCCCAGTGCATGTGTGCGCGCACGCGTGTCACTGCACTTGGGCACGTGTGTGGTTTTGCAGGTGGGGCTGGGGCTGACAGAGTAGTGTCCTCGTTCAATGCGGGGATCAGGCAGGGGAACCGACAGCTACAGAGGCTGACTTCCGACAACACAGCGTGAGCGCCCAGTGCATTTATTCATTCAGGGCCTGGTCAATGGGAACAAACGGGCGTGGACTGAGTCTCTGTGTTGGTTCCCGCCCGTGGCCCCGTGGGCAGATGGGGGCTGATTCCCTGACAGGGGACAGGAGCCTGAGGTCAGTAGAAGGCAGGCAAAAGGGGCGACAGTTATGTGGCTTAAGTAAGAAAGGAGCTCAGAGAGGGCCAGGTCACACGGGCACGTTCTGCGGGGAGACAGGCCCTGGCGGCGTTTTGCCCTTGATGTATCACTGCCAGGGGAGGGACACATAGAAAGCATGCGGACCCTGGAGGGACAGACACCAGGGAGGCGTGTGATGCTCAGCCGACGCGTCAACTTCATCTCTGCAGCCTGTCACTGAGGACCTCCGCTTGGCCTCAGGCCGGTGTCTGGCGAACACCAGCCAGAGAATGGCCAGGGAGCCCAGCAGCGGGGTCCGATCAGCTTCCCTGCCTGGCAGCCGGGAACAACCGCCTGAGCAAGCCCTGCTTCCGGCCCGCCAGCTTCTTGGTCACCTTGTCACTCTGCTTCTGTGGGTTTGTGGCCAGCTTCTGCGCCAGGCGATACACCTTGTTGGTGAAGTGTTTGCCAGAGTGGTCGCTCACCAGGCGCTCCACCATCTGCAGCAGCTCCTGCACCTGGGCTTCCTGCTCCGCGCCCACCGCCCTGTTGTTGAAGGCGCACACGTGGCCCCCGCACTTGGCCACCAGCCGGCGCAGCGCGCGGTTGTCCGTGTCACGCACGTACTCCTGCAGCGAGCCGCCCGCCAGGTCCTCCTTGCGCGTGAACAGCACCACGGTGCGCGCCAACACACGGCGCCCGAACAGTTTCTTCAGTGCCCTCAGGGCCTCCTGGTCCTGCGCCGTGAAGCGGCCCAGCTGAGTCACCAGGACCACCGCGTGGGGCCCGGGTGCCGACAGCAGGTAGCAGCGTGTCCGCTCCTTGCACCCCGGGTCTGTCTTGGCGACCCGGGGGCTGAAAAGGTCCGGGGTGTCCATGACTTCCACGAGCCACTGACCCCACGTGCAGCTCCCCACCTCGCAGGTTCTGGTCACCGAGGTGGCTGCCAGCCTGGAGAGGAAGCGTCTCTCGCCCAGGATGCTGTTCCCAGTGGCGCTCTTGCCTGTCCCTGACCTCCCGGCCAGGATCAGCCTCAGCCGGCGCTCCTGCAGGACCTGCGTGGCGTCCTTGGAACCTGGAGGACAGGGGTCTGTGAGCTTCCAAACCCATAAGCACCTAAGTACCTTGGTTACCTGCCCCCACCCACCCCCCCCGAGGCCTTTAACCAAAGGAGAACCACCATGTTTCAACTCTGCTTTTCCAGGCAAACCGTTATTGGGGTCGTTGGTCAGAGCCGTTTGACCCTGGGGGACCTTCACCATCTGCCCTGTCATCTCAGGTTCTCCGTGTGCCCCTGCAGATGCTCAGCCCCGGGGTGGGCATTTCTCTCGAGGACGCCCCTTTACAGTCCAGGCTCCGCCTCGCCTGCTCTATCCTTGGTGGTCCCCACCGAGCACAGCCGTCCCCGTTGGGCAGCTTCAGCGGCCTCTGCCCTTCTCCTCCCAGATGCCACCCAGGGAAGAAGGGCAGGAGGGTGCAGTGGCCTGGGCGTGACGGGCTGTGTGGGGTCCCAGACACCTCGGGATTGACTCACAGTCCCGCCATAAGCCAGCGGTGCCACCCGGGAAGTTCCCTCATCTAGGTGCTAATTAAACCTTAGAGCAAAATGGGGAGTAATAGCGTGGTGTCGTTTCCTCCTGGGGGTGTTGGGAGGATGAGATCAGATCCCTTCTTTCCTTCCTTCTTCCTTCTCTCGCTCCTCCTCCCTGCTCCTCCCGCCCCTCCCTCTGAAACCTGTTGCCTACCAGTAAGACACCTGTTCCCCCCCCTCCCCTGCATCCTGGGTCTCTAAGGCTCTTACCTGATGAATCCCCCCTCTGGTGCCCGAGCTGATGCCCTCTGCACCCTCCTCCGTGGAGGTCAGAGTGGGCTGAGTGTCCTCATCTCACACTTTGGCCACGGAGGCCCCGGCCAGTCTAAGAGGTTAGTGCCCCCAGCTGGGCAGGGGCAGAGCCGCAGCCGCTGCGCACGCCTCAGGCCTCCTGCTGTTTGGCCCCGACACCTCGGGGAGCCCTTTGGGGCCTGTCTGCTCGGTCTGGAGCTCGCCCATTTACCTCATCTCCCAGAGCTCACCCCTGGGGGCGAGTTCGCAGTGCGAGACGCGCTCTTACCGTAGGCGCTTTCCTCATCTCTTGCTTTCTTCCGGCCTCCCATGCTCCGCTGAAAGAGTCCCAAACACAGTTGGTTCATCACATAGGTGTAACTACCTCCAAAGAGCTGGGGACAGCACCGTGACACAGTCTTGGGTCCCGCGTCCCCTGAACAACGGAGCTGAGGGACGAACTCCGGAAGGGCCCGGGCAGGGGCGGGGTGGTGCTGGGACAGGGTCTGCTGAGCTCGGTTGGTCTTTTCAGGGCCGTCAGATGCCACGGCCGAGGGGAGACGGGGACGGTGACTCAGGTCAGGGACAGAGCTTCAGGTGCCCTTTTCTCCCAGGTAGTTCTGCGTCGGGGACCAAAGCTGTGGCTACTACGTTTTCCCAGGAGGCTTTGGGAAACTGAGAACCCAAACAATGGCTCCGGGAGGGAAGCCCTTAGAGCGGTGGGCGCGGGAGACAAACCGGAAGAGAACTGGATTTGGGGTTTGGGAAACTGGAGAAGATATGTAGGTCCCGGGCGACCTGGAGAGCCTGTGACTCCGCGCTCCGGACTCAAATCCTAGTCCTGTCTACGTGTGTCTCCTGGGATCTGTGTCCAGGAGAGCCAGGGCCACGCCCATCCGGCTCCTGATGCCCCGCCTCCCAGGCTGAGGCTCCTCCCAATCACATGGTTGCAGCCAATCAGGCAACATTTAATAGAATCGGCCCTTCTACGATCACGGAAACCGGAGCACAGCGCACTGTGTGACCTCAGTGTCCTCTCCAGCCTCGTGACCAGGACCCCGTCACTGGGCTGCCCCCAGAGAGCAGATTCCAGGCCTTTCCAGCCGCCTGTGCCCTCACCACTGTGACCGTCCAGCGCTCCCCCCGCCCCCCCGCCCCCCCTCCCCCAACGCTGTCTGAGTCCTGTCCATCGTCCACTTCTAATTCCACCTGGTTACCGCAGGGACTGCGTTCTCTCCTGGTGGCACCTGCTAAGGAAAGGCCAAGGGGAATGTGGGCCGAATACCTCGTCTCTGGCCAAAGCACTTCGAGGACAGGCTGGCCTGGCCCTCAGCCCAAAGGCGATGGCGTTCCTGCAGGAACCCGCCCCCTCCCCCGCCCAGGCCACTCTAACATTCACACCGCCGCCTCCCGGCTGCCTGGAGGAGGATCCACACACTCCCGTGGGTGTCAACAGACCAGAGTGGGAGAAAGAGCCACAGATTCAGAGCAAAGACCAGGAATTTAGTGGCAGCAAAGCGTCCTGGTCCAAGATGGAGGTGGGAAGGCCCAGGGAAGTCCCAGGACCGAGGGCAGGCCCTTCAGAGCTTCCCGCAGCGTCTGCGGTGGGATTCAGAAAGTTCTCTGCGGTCCCAGGGAGCTGACACCTGGGTCACAGAACACACGCTGTCCTTGAAGGGTGGACAGCACCCAGGGTCCTGTGTCTGAAACCCCCAGGGCAGGTTTCTTCACCTCGCCCAGGGCTCCCTGAACCCCCTGGCTCTGGGCGCTATCCAGGGGATTCTGGGAGAGGCAACTTCTCAGCGGTGCCGGGGCGCAGACCCGCACTTTCAGAACAGCAGCAGCCCCGCTCCCCGCTGCGGGTGCTTCCCAGGCGCTCAGCCTGAGGCCCGAGTCTCTGGACCAGTCCCCCTGGTTCAGCCCCTCGTCCTGCTGGCAGTGGGGGCGGCGCTCAGCGGCTCCGCGCCCACATAGCCTGGCAGCTCCGGCTGGGGAGCAAGTGTCTAAGGGCAGAGGTGGGTCAAGGGGCGAAGACCGTGGTCATGACGTTGGCCTCCTCCTGCAAGACCCTGTGTGGACAACTCGGAGGAGAGCGGGCTGTGTTAGGTGGTTCAGCCCAGGTTCCCACAGAATTGTCACTTTGTCCCTTGTTCTGAGGTCAGACTGGCTTCCATGTGCTCAGAAGCCTGTCTGCTTGTGTGACTATGCAGGTGGGGAGAGAGCCTGCGCCTTCTAAGGGAGCCTCGGTCCCTGCAGGAGAGCCAGCCACCCCTCCCTCCTTGTTTGGGGGCCCTTGGGAGAGCGCCGGTCCCTGGGCCTGGGGGCCGGCGGAGCTGCTGCTGGGAGCCTGCCCTGTGTGGGACTCGGGGGTCCTGAGTCTCTCCTTCTAGGCCCCGCGCCGCTTCCCGCTGCCCCCTGGCCCCCTGGCCCTCAGGCGCTCACTCAGCGAGCCCCCTGCCCCCGCTGAGCCCTTCCCCACCCTCACAGCCGCTGCCCCTGAGGCTGCCTCCCTGGCTGGGCTCACCTTTCCTGCAGAGGAGGCTGCAGGCTGTGACTGGGCCCCAGAAGCCCCTGACCGACTGCTGTCCTCGGGTTGTGAGCACGCAGCAGGCTCTTCCTCCTCTTTGGCGGCGGGAGGAGAGTGTCCTGCCTCTCAGCCTCAGAGGGCAGGAAGCCCTGGGAGGCGGGGCAGAGGTGACAACTTAAAGAGACAGGAGCACTCCCTACTGAGGGAGTGAGTGGGGACGTGAAGTTTTCTACTGGAAACTTCATTCTCATTTTTGAACAGTGACTTTAGGGCCTGACTGCCCTCGTCAGACCCTCCCGCACAGAGTACAGAGTGGACGGACGAGAGCAGGCCTCTGGGTGTTCCCCCCGATCTTAGCGGGGGAGGCTTCAGTCTGTCCTCGCCCAGTGCAGCGCCAGTGGTGGCGTTTCTACAGGTGCCTTTCGCAGGTTGTGGAAGCTCCTGTCTCTTGCTAGAGGGTTGAGTGTTTGTTTGTTTTTTTGAAAGGGTGTTCAGTGCTGTCGAGTGCTTCTTCTAAATCTACTGAGATTGTCCTGTGTTTTTTCTTCTTCATTCTGTTGTTTTGATTTACTGCACTAATTGATTTCTGGATGTGAAGCCAGTTTTGCACTCCTGGGATAGATTTCCCTTAGTCGCAGGGTATATGCCTTTTTGAATAGCACTGGATTAGTTTTTTAGTATTTTGTTGAAGGTTTTTCTGTCCATATGCATAGCAGATACATTTCTGTAGTTATATATCATCAGGGAACCCATCTGGGCCTGGGTTTTTCCTGATAGGTAATAATTTTTATTAGTAATTTAATCTTTGTATGTATTATAGGTCTATTTAGATGTTCTATTTTTTTTTCTTGAGTCAATTTTAGTTTATGAATTTTTCGATTTCATCTATGCTTTCTAATTTGGGGGGGCATAAAATTGTTTGCGACGTGTCCTTATAATTGTTATATTTTGATAAACTCGGTAACACTGTCCCCACTTTTATTCCTGATTTAGTAATTCTCTATGTTTTTAGCTAAAACGGTCTAAAGATTTGTCAATTTGTTGGTATTTCCGGAGAACCTAGCTTTAGTTTTGTTGGTTTTCTGTAGTGTTTTTCTATTCTCTAGTTCATTAATTTCCACTCCAGTCTTTATTATGTTTTTCTTGTGATTCCTTAGGTATACGTTGCTGCCTCAATCACTACTTAAAGCAGAATAGTAGGGTATTGGTTCGAGCTCATTATTGTCTATTCAGTGTAGCTACATGCATGTTTCCACCTATGCATTTTCCTCTAAGTGTTGTTTTAGGTACTCCTCATAGATTTTGTTATGTTGCTTTTTCATTTTCATTCATCTCAAATATTTATAATTTCCTTTCTGATATCTTTTTGGCACATAACGTGCTGTCAATAAAGAGTAAATGAAAAGTCTGTTTCATCTGGCTTTTTGTTCCTGTTGGTTCAGACTTTGATTGTTCTATTTGCCTGAACTTTTGCATTCAGCCTTAATCCGGTTTCACGCGCTAGCCCTCTGGCCAGCCCCCGGGAACAAACCAACACCAGGGTACGAGGTCCTGGTAACAAGGCCACGGGTCAATGTCAAAGCTTATGTTTTCATTGAAGTCCTACTCACAATGTGCTCTGACTTTATCTTACATCATAGCCACTGAGACTGGAGTGAGGAGCAGGCCGGAGGGATGAGAACCGCTACCCGCCTGCCCCTGTTGGAAGGCGCCACGCTCTCTGGGGTCCCAGGGCAGAGGGGTGGCGTCCGCTGGGCCTCCGCATCCGCCCAGAATGGAATCTCCTTCGAGGGGAGCTGAAGGTGTGTTGGGGAAGGAGAAAGTCATGGCTCAACTACTATGCACATTCTCACCCCTCTTACTAAGATTCAGCAGAGTTAAAAAAATTAACGTTTCTGCACTTGCTATATGGCCTTAGGACAACTTTTAGAGACTTTAATGGAACGACATTCACCAGTGACCACTGTCCCACCAGCAAGGAGTCCGCAGGGCGCCTCGCCGTGGCCTCTGCCAGAGGAAACCCTGTGAGCGGTTTTAGACCCAAGGCGGCTGCACGCAGGCCCCTCCCTTCCTTCCTGCTGAGAGCAGAGATTTGGCCTCGCTTAACTGCCCCTTCTTGTTGTTCTGTTGTGGTGTGGAATGAGACGTCGCTAAGTGGGGAGCTCGGGGACAGCTGCCATTGTCTTCCAGGTCGCCATCTTCTCCTGCAGTCCCTGGCTTTCCACCTGATGCAGACGTTGGACCTGCAGCGGATCGCGGAAATGCTGGTGTCTCCTTACATTCCCAGAGTCCTTCACGGTGGCGCACAGCTCAGACCCCGTCCTTTAATGCTCCTGTGACATTGCCTCAGGACCATGAACATTCAGAAACAAAGAGGCCACTCAGCTGCTATGGACCCTGAACTGCGAGAGCTTCAGTGTCAGCAGGGGAAAGGCAGCCACGCCCAGCAGCACCCGTCCCGGTGCAGAGCAGAGCGCGCGCTGCGGGCTCACGTCCAGGCCGCAGCGCTGGGTGTGGCGCCTGCTCCGCGCGAGGACCTGGTGCGGGTTCGGAGGCGCCCGGGAAAGTCCCGCGCCCCGTCCTCAGGGCGGCGCCAGCTGGGAGGGTCCGAGCGGGTCCCGGGCCCAGGTTAGGGCGGGGTCCGCGGGAAGGGCGCCCCTGGCCCAGCCTGTGTCCTGTCGCCCCTCTGAACACACAGCAGGTGCAAATAAGACGCATGGCCCTGTCACCGAGCCTCCCTGGCCTGTGTGGTGACCACAGCCTTCGCGATGAGCCACACAGCCGAGCAGGACCTGGGGCAGGAAAGGGCTGCGGCTGGGGCAGGGCGGAGGCTTTCCTGTGCACAAGGGAGTTTACCGGCAATCGTCCTGCCGCTGATTTCTTTGAAACAGAGGGGTTATGAGAAACAACAAGACTTCTTCTGCTGTATATGCTGGGAAATACATGGAAATTGTCCCTTCATTCCTTGTTCCAGCTGTTACAGGCCATGCGTCGTGCGTAATGAAGCACTTCAGACCATCGGTGGTCTCTGGCCACGGAGCGCAGATGATTAGAGCAGCACCCACTTCCTGGTGCGGACACCGACCCACTGAAATAAATACTCCACGTTATTTACTTTTCTTTTGTATCTTTGTCCTTTTCATTGACTTTACTGGGGGTGCCTTTGGTTAACAAAATGGAACACGTACCAGGTGCCCAACCCCACACTCCTCATCGAGACCCTGTACTGTGTGTCGGCCTCCGCAAGCCGGGCCTCCTCCAGAACCATTGACTGGCCCCGCCATCCCCCGCCCGGGGCCACCACCAGGCTGTTGTGTGTGTCCATGAGTTTTTCCTCGAGAGCTCGCCCCAACGCCCCCACTCCCCCTGCCCTGCCCGCTCTCAGTCTGCTCTCCGGTGAAAGGACCTCATTTTATGCTTGACAATGGGAGCTGCAGAGAGGTTCCCTTACCCACGTGCAGTAGGTGACATACTCCCCCCACCCCGAAGAAAGCCGCGCCCGCATCCCCAGAAGCGGTGAATGTCGCCTTATTGCTAAGGGGTCTTTGCAGACGCGGTTCCTTCAAGACAGGGCGATGGGGAGAGTGTCCTGGGTGCTGTGAGCGGGTCCCGCACGGAACCGCAGGGGCCTCAGAGGACGGAGGCAGGACGGTGACAGGAGGAAGGAGGCCCTGTGGCGTCGGCAGCAGAGGCAGGGGTGGCGCGGTCAGAAGCCAAGGAATTCTGGCAGCTTCTAGAAGCGGGAGAGGCAAGAAGGACGCCCCCTGGAGCCTGCGGAAAGGCCAGCCCCGAGGATGCCCGCAGGTGATCTCCACGGGCCTATGAGCAGGCGCCTGGCCTGCAGGGCTCCGGGAGGAGGCATCCTTGGCCTCAGGCCGCGAGGCTGCTGGTCCTTGGTCATGGCGGCCGCGGGCGTCGGGCGCACCCAGGCTGGCCGCTCGTTCGTGGGAGAGTCGGGACAGGGGGGAGGGGCCCTTCCTTTCAGCTCCTGTCGGTCTTTCCGTGATGTCAAGGGGGGTCTGAGCTTTGGATTGTCTGGATGACAGCAGCGGAAAAGATCCTGAGCTCCACGAGGCGGGCCCCGAGAAAATCTAAAGAAATGTTTCTAAAACCCCCACCTTTGAAAAATTCATATACATCCGTGTGTGTGTGTGTGATGCAAAGAATGAACGGGAAAAAGAACGAAAGGGAATGAAGCAAAGGAAGCCGTGGCTTTCCCCGCAGTCACGTCCTTGCTCCTGACCGTGTGGCGGGAGCCGCGTCCGGGGAGCGGGCAGAGCACCTTCAGGAGCTGCGGGTGGGGACCCGCTGGGGGGCAGGAGGGTCACGGCAGACCTGGACGTGGACAGGACCCCCCGGGACGAGGAGCGTGGCCACGTGGACAGTCAGGAGAGAGGTATCGCGGGTGTCCTAGAGGGAGGTGCCCCCACCCCCGATGTCGTGGACCGGATGGGGCTGCCAAGGTCCAGGGCCCCTCCGGGCCACTGGCCTCAAGGCCGTTCCCGTCCCGGACCCGCGTCCTCTCCCTGCAGCTCCTGTGGATCCTCTCATCCTCCTCCCCCCTCCCTTTGGGGACCTGCGCGTCGCACCTGCGCGTCACACCTGCAGACGCAAGGCGGCTCCCGGCAGGACGAGGCTCAAGCGGGGACCGTGGAGGGTGACCAGAGACGGGGCCGTGGGGGGATACTCTGAGCAGGAGGTGTGGTCCCGGCTCACACACGTGCAGCCCGGTCAGGGCGGCCCCCTGTACGGCTGCCCAGGGCCCTGTGCTTAGGGGCCCCTCACGGGGGTCTGTGCTCTGTCAACGGCATCTTGAAAATCTTCATGATTTTTTGAAAAAACAGCCTGGATTTTTCCTTTTGTGCCAGACCTTGTGATTTCCATAGCTGGTCCTGGCCTGCGTGTCTGCAGGACATCAGGAAACTCCCTGGGCCGTTCAAGGTGACCCCGGCCGTTAACACCAACAATGAGTCCAATGCTACGGACCCATGATATGGTCATGAACCCCCCCCTTCCAGAACTTGCTGCTTCCCTCCGTGGGTAGCCCCCCCACGGTCCCCTGCTTCCTGCCACATCCCGTCCTCTCACTGCCTGCCCGAAAGCTTAGGCACTGACCAATCCAATTTCTCAACCTAGGGCCCCCAAACACATAAGAACTCAATGCTGTACGGAGACGCCGCGGTCAGCTAGAGCAGCTTGTCCACCGTGGGAGCTTTGACAGCCTGCCTCTCTCTGAAACCTGTTCCCGAGCCCGATGCATCCGCCCGCTGGGTGGGTCTAGGACAGGTGCCCCGTCGGGGCCCGGGGTGGGGAAGGCGGGGGGGTTGGGAGAGACAGTTGCGCCCGCTCCCCGGGAGCGTCTTACTAGGCGGGTCCTGCGCACTCTCAAGCCGGCAGGGACCACGTGAAACCGCCCGGAGTCTGTGCGGTCACAGAAGACTTTTCTACAGATCCCCTCCCTCTCTCTGCGCCTTGGCCCCCAATAGTGAGGACTCCTTGGACTCTGCAGCTGGGTCTTGTCGATTTCTGAATGAGGAACGTGAGCCCCTCCTGACAGGCTGGACTCACAGCCCGCCTCCTACAATACCAGCAGCACCCGAGGGCGCCCCGGTCACCTGCCCGCCCGCCTTCTCCCAGAGTCCCCGCCGCCGCCCACAGCACAGGGAAGTGACCAGACGCTGGGCCTGGCTCTCCAGGCCAGACTTGGGTCATTTGATGCGGGCCTTTCGCATCCACCGCTATCACCCACAATGCTGAACATAGTTTTGGAAGTTTTGGCGCAAGAGCCGGCCCGTGGAGCCGAGGTTTGAACTTGGCAAAACTGGAGCACCCAGCAAGCTACGGGCCGCTGGTTCTGTCTCTTTAAAGGCAAACAGCTCCTGCGCCGGCCCCGCCCGCCTCGGCTTCCTGGGTCTGTGGCCTGGGGAGCGGATCCCGCCCTCCCCACAGTGAGAGCAGAAGCAGCCACTGAAGGAGCTTCACTGGGGACGAGCAGGCACTGGTCAGCGGGTTGCACAGAAGGTGAGCCTGGCGGGGACGCGCCTGAGGGACAGAGCTGCGGGGACAGAAGGGCCCGGGCATGGGCGGGGGTGGTGGTGCTGGTCCCAGGAGGGACCAGGGACCGCGGCAACCCCACGGGGGGATGCGAGTGCTGTGAGAGGGCGGTGGGGGGGTAGGAAGGGGGGCAAGGGGCTGTGTTATCAGCAGAATGTCGTGTGCCTCATATGACAGGACTCGTATGTTGATGGGGGCGCCTTCAGGCGTGTGCTGGTGACAGACCATGATGCGCCTTCCTCCCCCCTGAGCGGAAACCAGTGTCCCCGGGGCAGGTGCTCAGGGCTGACGGCGATGTAGACACCACGCTGTCTAAATGCGTCTTTCCACTGCGAAGATCAGGATCCCAGGCCGGGTGGCGACCCCCCCTCCAGGGGTGGCCCGCGTCCCTGGTGGCAGAGGAATCAAGGACGCAGGGTCCGTCATTCAACAGAGAGGCCGGGGCCCCACCGTGTGCCGCGCGCGGTGAGGAGGGCGCGGAGGTGCGGGAGCAGCGCAGAGGAGCCCCCTGTTCTTGCCCTGCGCGGCTCCCCGGCAGGCCTCCGCCCTGGAGGGCGTGGGCGCCCCTCCCCGCCCGCCCCTCGTCCAGCTCTGACGGGTGGGGGTTTAGAGTCGGGGCCGAGGAGGAGCCCGGCAGAGGCCGCTGTGGGCCGCGGTCAGGAGGGAAGGCGGGCGTCAGGCTCACGTTCAATCGGGTGCCCGCTCTGCCCAGCAGCTGTCAGCGCGGTGACCTTGGGCAGGTGTCTCAGCATTTTTGAGCCACTTTAACGTGCTTATTTTAGTATCAAAGTATTTTTGAGAAACTGCCACAGTGTTTTGCATAGAGGCTGTACCAGTGCACATTCCCACCAGCAGTGGATGAGGGTTTCTTTTCCTCCACGCATTCACCACTTGTTACTACTTGTCCTGTGACAACAGCTACTCTCACAGGTGCAAGGTCGTACCTCAGGGTTTTGTTCTGCATTTCTCTCATTGCTGGTGAGGCTGAGCATCTTTCATGTATACTTGTATGCTGGCCTTTGAATATCTCCTTGGGAGAAGTATCTGTTCAGGACCTCTGCCCATCTTAAAAAAAAAAATTCACCCGAGGGTATATTTATTGATTTGAGAGAGACACACACACACACACACACACACACACACACACACACACAGACACACACACACACACACATCAGTGTGAGAGAGAAACATCCATCGGTTGCCTCCTATATGTGCTCCAACTGGGGATCGAACCCAGAATCGAGGTATGTGCCATGACCAGGGGTCTATCCCACCACCTTTTTGTTTCATTTTGTTTTGTTTTTTCATTTTTAAGTGCATTTTATTGATCATGCTCTTAGAGTGTCCACTTTTTCCCTTTACCCGCCTCTGCCCTGCTCCCCATCACGTGTCTCCTGGGAGGGCTACGCCTCCCTCCTTCCTCTCTTTCTTGGTCGTGCCGAATAATTTTATTTTTTGTGTGTGTAAATGCACTTTATAAACCATTATTTTTTATTTTAGAGAAATATGTATTAATTCTATTTTTAAGAAACGTTTTAAACATGAGTTGGTGTTTAGTCGGGTCCAACGTCTTTTCCGCATCTGGGTAGGTTTCTTCATCAACTGTTAATGGGATGTGTGGTAACAACCAGTTTTTTCATATTGGACCATCCTCGTATTTCTGAACTAAATCCCATTTAATTGTGTGTATTACTTTTTTAGTGTCTAATCATTTAGTTAGTATTTTTTGTATTCCTCTTTCCACATGAGACACATCTGTAGCTTTATTTGTTGGTGAAATCTCGGTTAGCCTTTGGGATCAGTATTACACTTGATCCACAGGAAGCGTGGAAACCCTTCCTTCCTTCCTTTGTGTGATCAGGAGCAGCTCATGGAGCCCCGAGCGAGCAGAGCTGTGAGGTGCAGGCGCGCTGCCCGGGGAAGGCACCTGGAGGCGGTGCTCCTTTGTGGGAAAACTACTGTTTTATTCCCTCCATCGTAATTGACCTGTGTCATCTCTCTGTTGTTCCTGGGGTCAGTATGAATAACCGACTAGTACAAATTCTCAAGGAGAAAAAGAGGGTTGGGAACGGACTCCACTTACCCAAGTTGACCCTCCCCTCTCCTTCCCTTTCTTAGGGCCTTGTGGGAACCTGCACCCAGCATGGCCGGCCTTCAGGCCAACGCTCTGAGGATTGTTCTGGTGGGAAGAACCGGATGTGGGAAAAGTGCAACAGCAAACACCATCCTTGGGAAAAAGGAGTTTGATTCTAGAATTAGCGCCATGTCTGTTACCAAGAGCTGTGGGAAAGCATCGCGGGCCTGGAAGGGGAGGGATCTTGTTGTCGTGGACACCCCAGGGCTCTTTGACACCAAGGTGTCACTGGAGACCACCTGTGAGGAAATCGCTAAGTGTGTCCTGTACTCCTGCCCCGGGCCTCACGCCATCATCCTCATACTACAGCTGGGCCGCTTCACGGATGAAGAGCACAGTACAGTTGAATTGATCAAGGCCATCTTTGGGGAGCGCGCCATGAAGCACATGATTGTCTTGTTCACTCGCAAAGATATGTTGGAGAAGGATCAGAAGCTGAGTGACTTTATAAAAGAGTCAGAAGAACGCCTACAAACCATTATCAAGGAGAGTGGGAATCGCCATTGCACCTTCAATAACGAAAGTTTAGACGAAGCTGAGAAGGAAGCTCAAGTGCAGGAGCTGGTGCAGCTGATCGAGGCAATGGTGCGGGAGAACGGAGGGGCTCACTTCTCTGATCCCATCTATGAGGACATAGCGGAAAAGCAGAGACGTCTGGAAGAGGCCTTGGAGAAAATCTATGCTGAGAAATCAAAAACGGAAAAACTAGTAAAAGAGCTATATGCTCAGCAAAAAATATCGAAGCAAGAAATGGAGAAACAAATGATGTCCCTGAAGGAGAAATATGATGAACAAAGTGAAACTACAAAGGAAGAAGGTGAAAAATATATATTTACAAGAATTTTCAGTATGATTTTGAAAGCACTTTTGAATTTGAAGCATACGATTTGGAAATAATGCAAATTTAATTTTTCTTCTTAATTTACTATGATTTGTATCAGTGTGGCAGAATGTATATTCCAAAGATGGCTGTCGCGATTTCTTCTATCCCACCTGTTTTCTTGAAGTCAGAACTGTTACTCCTTCTGCTGAGCTGCGGGGACTGTGTCCCCACCTTGAAATTCCATGGCCTCTGTGACTGCTTGGATAAGTAGTGGGTGGTGAGACTTCTGAAGTTAGACAGGGACAATCCGCCCTGCTCTCTGGGGTACACGCCCTCGGAACGTGGCCGCCATGCCGTGAGGAAGCCCGCGTTGCCCATCGAGACGCCCATGAAGAGGACGTGAGTCCTGCCCGCCCCCGGCTGCTCTCCCTTCTGCCCGTGTGGCCCCAGGGCAGTGGGCTCTCCAGCTGCCAGTGGAACCACCTCAGAGGACGCTGCAGAGAGCAAGGACAGGCCATCCCCACCGCATCCCACCTAGACTGCAGATTCACGAGAAAAATAAACGATGTTGTGTCCAACCGCTCAGCTTTGGGCTGGTGTGTTGGGCGGCGGTAGCTCCCCAGGGCATCCTCCCAGCTCAGGCCCCACCATCCCGCAGCGCCCGCACATTTGGGAAGGTACGAAGTGGGCGCAGTCAGGACACAGTACACTATGTAGAGTTCAAAACTCAATTTAAGAGAATCTAACAGGAAATCCTTTTTGTGTCAGGTGTCAGCCCCTCTGCTGAGGCTCATTTTTCCCGTCTGCGTCCACGAGCCTGCGGTCAGTGAATGCGCAGGCGCCGCCCCCCACCCAGCAAGGGGGTTCTGAGGTCCCCGGACGCCTGGAAGGCGCCAAATCCCCGTATTGCTGTTCTCCCGTTTCTTTTCAAGGCACCATCCTAACGTGAAGTTCCCCTGACTATAACTCAAAAATATCTTCTGGGCGAAATGCTTCTCCTTTGCCTCTGCAGACCCCCACATTGCCCCCCCCCCCCCAGCGCTCTGCCCCCGGAGGATGCTCTACGCGGGTCACATTGTTACCGAACTCAAGGGTTCGCCACTTGGGGTGTTCTGCTCAGGGGCGAGACGTGGTTGTCACATGGTGGTACCTACGCACAGTAAGCGAAGGAGACGGGGATTCACACCCGCAGGGCTCTCTCCGGGAAGGGAGGCCGAGCCGTGGCCCACGTACACGAACGGCTCAGTCGCACAGTTGCAGTTGGCGGCGCTCACCTGGTTGAGTTCTTGCCAAGCGCGTCCTGCTCGCAGCTGGTCTGCAAACGCTGCGCTGCACTCTGCACTTGAACATTTAGCCAGAAGAGCTCAGAGTGGCAGCGGCCCCGTCCCGGAGGCCCCGCCCTGTCCGACCACGTCAGCGGGGTTCCTGGCTCTCGGAGTCCTGCTCGGCGTCTGCCGATGGCGAGTGTGGGCAGGACCCTCTTCGGGGTAGAAAGGCAAGTTGGGGTATTGTCCTGCTGCCTCCCTCCCTGCCAGGTCACCTCTGACCTGCTGCCACCTGGTGCGGAAGGTCACACCTCCTCTACCCACCCCGCTTCTGGGGCCCAGCTCTCCTTCACCCCAGGGTTAGGGTGTCATTTCCTCACTGTTACCAGCAATGTCCCTTGTCACTTGCAAACCCTGTGTCCCCTGCTTGTAGGAAACCCCTGCACTTGGCTCTCTGACAAGTATCTCATTAGAGGGATGGATCGACCTTAGCGACACCCACAGACTTTTCTCTTTCCCATGTACCCTGATCTCTATTATTGTATTGAAAACAAAAAAATCCCTCCAGTGATTTCCGACACCAGAAACGTTTCTCCTGGGAGCTGAACTCTCTGTCGTTACCCAAGCAGAACGCTCTGCGTTCACGCCTGGGGAGTCTGCTGAGGTCTCACCATTACAAAATCACACGAGGGTTCCGGTCACACCCTGAGGGATCCGAGCCCCGGCCCGGGGGACTTGCCACGTCAGTGGTTTGGGTCATGGGGTTCTGGGTAGAGAAGCTTGTCCCTGGTTCTGGGAATTGCTGTCCTTACCTGTGTTTTCTCCCGCGTGGCACAGCATTGTGGCTGTGGCAGCTGAGAGAGCAGCCACCAAACCAGCCACCTCCGAGCTCAGGAAGCCCCTTGCTGCCCTGCCTGGGCCCACTGCAGAGCAGGAGGGGTGGTCGCCAGAAGCGAGTGTGGGTGACAGACGGGAGGTGGGGCTCAGCCCGGCACCTCTTCCTAGACGCTACCGTGTCGCACCGTGCGGGGCAGAGGAGCTGTGACGGGGTGGGCCCGGCCAGGCGGCGGCTGGCGGGGCGGCCGCTGCAGAGCAGGACGCAGCGTGGAACTGCCCCGACGGAGGGCGTGAGGGAGGGAGGAGCCGCGCGTGGGAGAGGCAGAGCTTTGGCAGTCACTCCTCTGTGTCCTCTACTTGTCACACGTGCAAGTAGACCTTTTCCTGCCACCAAGGCTTGCGTTCCTTTGTCTCAGACACGGGACCCCCCGATCCCACTGTGTCTGTTACTCTGGGGAGGGCATGGGGCAGGCGTCACCTCCAGTTGACCTGAATGCTGGACCTAGGCTGCTCCCTGCCCCCAACCCATACTTGGAATGTGCATCCAGCTGGCCCCGTTTCTTTCCAGGAGCTGCCTCACAGACACAGCTGTGAGATAGTGACTTTTTGTTGAGACCATCCGGGTGGTGTAAGTGACTCAGCTCAGGTGAGGAGTATATACACTCTTTCCAGATCTGGCAGGGGCACAAAATATTTGTTTTGGGGCCACTTACGACAAGCCTTGTGGGTCAGTTCCCTGCCTAATTAAAAAGTGCCACCTCCCCATCAGATGTGGTCAGCAGCTTCCTAGGGTCTTTCCCAGCTTCACATGAGGACCTGTGTCACATTACTCCCAGAAGGTGAACTACTGACCTGTGCTTCTAGAAGAGCAGTCTCATCTCTGTTTGTAAACAGAGATGAAAAATGGAGCGCCTACCGCGACAGTTCTCAAGTTTCTTCTTCCTGTTAAAAAGCTTCTTGAGAAAAAAAATCTAGATGGCGGAGGAGTGAATAGCTCACACTGACCTCCTCCCAGGACCAATTTGGAATTACGACTAAATTGTGGAGAAATCACCTGGAACAAACAACTGCACAATAGTGAGAGAGGAGCCTTATGACCTTGGACAGGCAGAAGAATCAGCTTTAGCACAACCTAACTGGTAAAGAGTGTGGTAGAGACTTGGGAAGACAGGCGGGGTGCCCACTGCGGCAGCACCAGAAGGTAATTGAAATGGCCAGTTGGATCCCCCTGAGAAGAGCGTGGTCTAAACCATTCCTGGGGATCTCCAGCCTACAGCACCAGAGCCCAAAAAGTACAGAGATAACAGCTAGCTGTGAAAAGCGGCAGAGTTGCCCTCTGCCAGAGACTGGTGGCTGGAGATGCAAAGAGCCATTTAAACAGCCAACACGTAAATTTTTACTTGCAGTCACTTACCCTGGTCTCCAGTAAAGGTGGGGGTACAGTGGGCTAGAGAGGCCTGAGGAGAGACTGGGGAAGGAGGCTTAGGGGGAGAACTGAGAGAGGAGCCAGCAGAATCCCGGTGCTGACTCAACCCCATATGGCAGCAGCCATCTTGCTCAGGCAGACCATTCCCCTGAGCAGCAACAGTATCAGAGGACACAACAGCCCCGCCCCTAGGAGGGACTCAGCCCTGGGCCCGATGATCCTAAAGCCTGAGAGCTGAGTACAGAGTGGCAGCCACATATAGTAGATCCCTGAGTAAAGGGGGTGCAGAGTGGTCTAGAGACACTTGGGGAGAGACTGGTGACAGAGGCTTTGGGGAGAGAACAGAGAGAGTAGCCAGTGGGATCTTGGTGCTGACTCATCCCCTATCCAGCAGCAGCCATCTGGCTCAGGCAGACCATTCCCTTGAGTGGCAGCAGCGTGAGGGGACACAATAACCCTGCCCCCCCAGGAGGGACTCTGCCTCGCCCTGTGGTGTCTAAGCCTGACTGTTGAGTGCAGAGTGACTCGATTAACAGCTGAAGGAGACAGCCACAGACAGTAGATTCCTGGAAGTCTTGAACAGACTGCATAAGATCGGACAGGGTCAACATCTGACACTATCAGAGGCAGATTCTGAAAGAAAAAAACAGCGGTCTCCTACCATAGAAGTTCATACCACAAAGTCAGGAAATCAAGACAGATCAACTTAAGAAGCAGAAGCCAAAAAGAAGAGTCTCACTTCTTATAAAATGGGGAAGACAAAGAAACACCGCCAAGTTTAAGGGAAAGGAGGAATCCCCAGAAAGAGAACTAAAGGAAAGAGAGGCAACTAAACTATCAGATACTGAGTTCAAAATGATGGTTCTAAGGACGCTCAATGAGCTCAGTCAGCTCAGAGAGAATTACAAAAAACTACAGGGAAGCTACGAGGAACTTACTGCAAACTATATCAGCATGAAAAAGGACATAGAAACTATCAATAAGGGACAAGAGGAAATGAAGAATACAATTTCTGAATTGAAGAACACAGTAGAAGGAACCAAAAGCAGGCTAGATGAGGCAGAGGAACCAATCAGCAAGTTGGAGGATAAGGTAAATAAAAGCTCCTAAAAAGAGCAAGGAAATGAAAAAAAACTAAAGAAGAATGAAAAGGCACTTACAGAAATGCAGGACAACCTGAAACATAATAACATTCATATAACAGGGATACCAGAAGAAGAAGAGGAGGAGGAAGGGATAGAGAACTTGTTTGAAAAAGTAATGCTGGAAAACTTCCCTAATTTGATGAGAGAAAAAGTCACACGAGTCCAGGAAGTACAGAGGGTCCCATTCAAGAGGGTCCCATTCAATGAGGCCCACTCCAAGATACATCATCATTAGGATGGCAAATATGAAAGACAAACAGAGAACCCTAAAGGAAGCAAGGGAGAAAGAGTTAGCAACATAGAAGGGAGCCCCAGTATGGCTAGCAGCTGACTTCTCAACAGATACACTACAAACTGGAAGAGAATGGCAAGAAATAGTCCAAGCCATGAAAAGCAAAGGCCTGCAACCAAGACTGCTCTACCCAGACAAAAGAAGGCAAAAGGAATGCACCTCCACCAAACCAGCATTACAACATATGCTAAAGGGACTGCCTGACGAAGATGAAGAAAAAGAGTCTATGCATACCCAGCTCCTTTCACAGTCACCAATATTTTTAATGCTTATATGAAATACAAAATATTACCAATATTTTTAATACTTATTAATGTGATTATGACAATGTTGTGCTATTTTAGTTGTTACTTTACTATTTGTTGAAACTAAACCTGTTTTTGTATATTTCTTGCTTATTTCTATCATTTTTAAAAAGCTTTAAATGACTTTTTGGTATTCTTTATCCATTTTTTGGTTAAATGTTTGTATAACTTTTTCTCTAAAAAAAAACAACAAAAGACAAACTCTTAACCCTTTTTTAGATATGTTGCAAATACTTTCCTATTCTATTACTTGTTCTTT